AGTCGCCGTAACTTTCAAACTATTATTTTGCGCGCATACATTTGCATAATAATAAGAGCTGCTTGGCTATATACTTGATGTTAAGTTCCAAGTTTTTATCTGTTCCAAGATCACACGTATCTCTATAGATATACATGGATACGCAGAGGCATCACCTCGATAAATTGAGCAACAATTTGATAGGACACAATAGTAATGATAATAATACACAGGTGTGTATTTTTTTTATCTATTTAGAGACCCAAGAAAGTGACACGTTTAAAATGGACAATGACGTAGGAATTTAAATCCCGTGTTAAAATATCAAAAATAATTTCTTACCACACGTCAGCCTATCACCTATAACATAACAATGAATAAAGGCACGCTATTAGCGATACATTGATCTTTTGATGAGTACCTACACATACTGGGTGATTAGGGTACCAATTTTTCTCCACTGGTTTTGTTTTTTTTTTTAACAAAATCATTGTCCTTCAGAGTATAAATCAATCGTTTTTTCTTTATGTCAAATCTCTCCTTTTTTTTTCGCCATTCTGATTCGTGTAATTCATTAGAAATTCCAATAGAAAACACGTTCCCAATCTGCATTTGGTTATGTATTTATAATTTTATATACTGTACCATGACCATAACACGTTTATGTGTCGGAAAGTGTTACTTACTCATGGCTGGGCGCCCCTGACTTAAATTGTATGAATGAATAGGTATCTGATGTTAAAACACTTATAAAAATGTCGCCATAAATATGCGTTTATTGAGGTACCTGTAGGAATTTATTAATAACTGGTAAATATTTTATAAATTTCTCTTTTCAACAAATAATTTATTGTTGGGAGATGCGATAAAAACAAACATTAGAAAATCTTGCTTTATATTTTTTAATCGATATTTATCAGACTGATAGGTATAGGTAGTTCAAAAGTCCATGGTCCTTCACATGACGCCCCTCTCCCCCTTATGTAGAGTTTCAATTTAATCCCTGATCATAAAACTGATAACAAAATTCATGCTTATTGTAACTGGTGCATCTTTTGTTTGTTCAAGAAATATATGAAAGAAAATAACAAGATTTAGCGACGTGTTTTTGTTGTATGTGTTTCTTTTGTTCTGTAAGCAGCTATTTGAGTAATTCAGGTGTCTTGGGACGGAAGTTTTAATATTGAAAGCATCTAGGTACGTAACATTGGAATGGTTTTATTAAATTATTTTTCGTTCACTCCTGGTACAATCAACTACCGAAATAATTGATCGCATGATCTTATGGCGTAGAGCTCCTGAGTTATGGCTTTTTGCTGCAGCCCGTTTTGCTGCATCCACCTAGTGATTTACAACCGCTCCAGGGTTTAATATAGGTGAATTTTATTGCTTGCACTCGGTATTATATAATAAGTCAGGAGTAACAAGAGACTGAGGACAGCTATCTATGTACGTATGTACTTGGGGTAGCACATACGGATTGACGTGAATGAAAAACAATGTTAGGTACTTTTCGGCAATACCATGACCTTCGCCTCGACCTTCTCATTATTATTATTATTATTGTTATCAGCATCTAGCGAACCTGAAAATGTACGCGAGCATACAAAAGTGGTTTGTATTTAGTTGGACTTAAAGGGTCATTATTCTCCGTCTCTCTTTTTCTTACAATGCGGATATTGGCAGGTGCAATGGGCGTGTCTTATGTCCCTCCACCGTAAGGTCCATAATCGGCCGCCGCGGCTTCTTGCCCGACAGGTATCTTCGGCTAGTAAATTATTTGAAATCCAAAGCAGGTGCAAAGTCTTGTTTATTTGTCATGTGAAGTTTCTCTACTCGGCGGTGACGGTGGGGATTGGAATCGAAGATTGCGGTGCAAAGGTAGTAGGTACACACACATACACATGCATGCATGCATGCATGCATACATACGGTGCTTACTTACTCGGGAGACACTTTCAAAACGACAAAAACCTTCATTTTTTATTTAAAACAATGCAACATTCATTTGTTTGTTTATAGAGGCGACGAATGTTCTTTTCTGTATCCTGTAGGAAAAACAAAAGACTACCTTTATTTATGTATGTATGTATGTATGTGCTTACGGTTGGGTTGGTTGTCAACGATCGCCAAGATTATTAGCCAATAATTACGAATCGATACTACTTAAAATGCCTTTCCTACCTCTTTATACGTAATGTTAATAAATCATGTCACAGGGCACAGATTATAGTCGACAAATGCTAATCGTCAATTTATTGAAAGAAGTAAGTCTAATTCATAATTACAACATTGATACAAATTTAAATTCTTTTATACTGAATATATTTGAAATTTACTTACTTTTCGCGTAATTGTTTTATCATTAAATACCAAATTTGATTAATTATTCAAATGTTTCACGTAAACATTGGTAAAGTTGGCGTAGAAAACCGCGTTTGAAAAGTTCTTCGTTATTGGTCCGTGCGGTAAACGTCATGTACTTGTTTTTAAATATGGCGTCAAGTCTCTGTACATGACGCGTATATTTCTCGCTGGTTTTTGTAAATATTTAATGTAAAAGTGACCGCACATACAAAATACGTATCGAAATGTGTTCTACATATAACACATCATGTTAGGTAGACATTTTTAATGTTCATTAACAATTTATTTAACTAAATTATGTAAGTTTCTCATGGCTAATTCTACGCCATGGCACAACCTACTTTTAAAGGAAGATGTAAATACATAAGTGTACATTAACGCAATAGTTAAGACTATTTTCGTTTGTTATTACAGATTGTGACTTAATTAATTATGGAAAAATGGTCCTGTGCCCCTCTCCTCCTCTACACCCTCCTGGGCTATCCGATCAGCAAAAGGTAGGATTTTAAAGCATTTTCTAATGATTATTTATTGTTGTCTTAAACGTTTCTCTTTTTAAAGAAATGAATAACGATAATCGCACAGATTTATTCATTTGTCGCACGTGTGTTTGCATAGGTGCTCATTACACGGTAAGCTGGTAAACAAAGATAATCTTTGTGCATTTTACACTTGTACTAGTTCCAGTTTAATGCTCGAGTAGATTTAACGAGAGTTTAAATTATCTAGGTAACAAATGGGAAATGTCCCAAAATGCGCACAATTTCAACAAGAAACGTTTAAATTTAAACGGAACAGCCATTGTAATTATTGTACATTAATTATTTATTAATAATAATTAAGCGTATGAACAAATTACCCAAATACGGCGAATTGCAGAACAATCTTATCAGTAATTTATTCGGTATACCTACTGAAATTTGACATGATTTTATTGTGATTAGTCTTTAGTGTTTATATCAGGACTACAACAGGTGGTTTTTAGTCCTTGATTAGCTATTTGCTTCCTGTCATATTATGTCTATGGCAGATGCGTCGGAATATTTCTTGATTTAAGTAATTGCTTGTTAAACAGACTACCTCTGCCCTTTGCGTAATAACATCATATTTTATCATTATTGTCATAAAATTAATTAAGAAGTTGGGAGACCTTCAAGTATTATGTAACTGGTTTAGGGGGCTGAGGGAAGGTCTTGTAAACCTTTACAATGGCGGAGGGGTATGTTTGAAGGAGAGGGGGTAAAGTAAAACGTTACAGGGCGTTATAAGGGTTGGGGGGATTCAAAAATCTTCAAAAGGAATTTCAAATTTTGTAAAGGGGGTTATTAAATGTTAACTAGGGTCGTTTAGGTGGATGGGGTTAGGTTAGGTCTTACCTATTATCACTTGCACTAGCTCGATATTTTTGGCAATAATTTGGCCACATTTTCTGATATTATGTTAGTTTCATTTGTTTATTTCGACGTTGCAACGTCGATTACCTAATGGTATATAAATACACGTCCTAACACATACAGGCAGTTGGTAAATAGATTACCAATTTAATCTCTTCTAATACATACGTATGTGTATATATATATACATGCGTGGACATTATGTATAATTGTATATTATGTAAAGTACAAATACAAATTGTTTAATGTAAATCGTACACCGCATCTACCCGAATTATTTAAAGCCTTATTGTTATGCATTAGCAGTCGATAACAAATTAGTAGGCCGTTTATGTGTAATGTAAACAAGCCATTGTTCCATTTTATGTTTAATTCGACCCCCCCGCGACCATGTTGAATCGCCACCCCCTGTATCTCTTGTTGCACTTGTCGCTGTATTTCGACCACTGATGTTTGCTAATTTAGTCGATGACGTTTCAGCCTAATTGTGTCATGACTTTTATGTAGTTAAAACGATTAATTTTCTCTTGGATGCATTACCAAAATTAGGGCCCCTTTTGGGGGCTAATCTGGTGTCGAGGTCAAAAATTAGGGGCTCGTAATTTATGTTGATGAATTTTTTAGCCCATAAGACAACTGCAACGTAATCTTCAGGAAGTTCAAAACACTAAAATGAAATGCGAAATTACTGAAAATTAATAAACATAACTTATGAGACCTTAAATTTTTGACGTCGGTATCAAACCAGCCCCTAATTTTGACCACTCGGAGGACATTAGGAACATATGTATACGAATATGTTCGTGAGTAACGAGATCTGACACGTGAATCTTTGACCTGTGGCGTGTTCTGCAAAGTTATAAAGATGTGAGTGCCTAATAAAAATATGAAAGAATTGGAAACCCCGGCTGCCAAAATCTACTTATACCGTTTCCTATGCATAACTCGACACACACACACGCCTGTCGTGGGGCTGTTAGCGCCTCTCGTGAAAATTTAATAATCTTGCAGTAGGTTTTGTCACAGCCACCACGGACGGACGGACGGCGGCGTCGGATACCACCGGCGTCCGCCGCCAGCAGCAGAAGCAGAAATAGTACATACTGTATATATGGTGAAACCTTTTCGTTCTCGTTCCCTTCCTCGAAGGGAGGCACACGAGGCCTTCGATCCCTAATAAAGGACACCGTTTTCGGATGCCATATAATCACTATAACGACGTCGGCGCCGCCGCCGTCGGCTCGCTCGTACCGTACTACCGAGTCCTTCCTTATCTGACGCGATTGATCGCGGCTCGGTCGTTCTCTGTCGTCGGTGCGGTAGTTCGTTGTGGTAGTAGGTTTACGGTAGTGACGACGGAGAGAGGACGAATCGGTTGTCGGCGAGAGCGACAAGGACGCCGACGACTTGTTTGCAGCAGCAGCAGGAAGCGTGCAAGCGAAGCAGGGACCGCTGCGTATACCGCTGCGTCGATTTAGTTTCTCCTGTGCGCTGGAGCGTCGTGTTAGCCTGGCTTGGTTGTCCCCGGCGCCCCTGTCTGTCGATATTTTCCATTCTTAACACGAAGACCCCCGGACAAAGTGCGATACCGACGTCGACGATGATTAATATTAATAACAACAGTAAAAAACGCTACAACATCGCAAAATAGAGTCGAGTGCTTCTAATCCTGAAATAATACAGATACAGACGTTGCGTTCTTCTTCCGTCTTCATCCCCTGCAATTTTTTTTTGACGGCGTGAAACAAGTGCCGCTATAGCGAGCGAGTGTTAGTTTGTTTGCTGATTTATTTCGGATCTGGATTTTGTGAAGTACCTATAGCATTTTTTTTAAAAAACGTGAATGTTGTGCACCCGAAATGACGACGCGTCGCCGTCTCCTCGTTGTCGCCGACGTCTTCTAAATCCCAAACAGAAACGATTTGCTTATTATTATTGCTTCTCCTGCTGACGGTGGTGTTTTAAGGTAAGGGAGAATACATACAATGTGTGCGTATGAGTGTTATTTTGTGAATGTATTGTACTCTCCGCACTACAGTACAAAACGAGACGGATCGAATTTGTCGCAAGATCGCCAGGACGAATGGATTTTGTATGCGACAATGAGAAACTGAGATATTGTTTTTATGCGTATAATATATTATTAGGTACACAGGAAAAAATGCGTCCACCACTGGCAGCAATGACCACAATGAATTAGAACCTATTAAAAACGTACAGTTTAATTGTTATTTCCTTTTTTATTACCGGACATAAAAATTCCTTATAAATGTATCCTTTTCGGTTTATATGCAAATGTTTAAGTTTATTTATTTTTACCCCTTCAAAATATATAAACTTTTTATGATTAATTGTAGTGTAGATTCAGGAAACAAACCGCAAGTTTGATGCAGCATTTTTACTTTTTACAGTATCATATTTTCTGTTTCATTTTATTGCTTTTTTTATGAGGCGCTGAGTATACACTAGTGGCGAGTTGAGAGCAAACCATAGGGACATTCTACTTAGTAGATACATGCATTCATGAAAGGTCGGCATCATTTTTAAATATGCCGCACTTTGATGATTGCATGCAGATAATTAAGCTCGGTTCACAATACGCCACTAGTGTATAATGAAATATTTTTTTCTAATTTTTCATCAGTAAATGCAAATGAAAAGTACTTGTTTAAATATTTATTATTGTACTGTTTACTTATAGCTTTATTATAAACCATGAGGCGTGCCTTTAAGATTGATGGGTGCGGATTTTATTATGACTAATGCACGTACCTATCTAAGGAATTTTTGTTAGATCAATTGTTATTTTTTTGAAAACCGTAACAGAATTGAATACCAAAATTCTTTCTGGCACATTTAACATTCTTGTTCGTGACCGCTTCGACGGTAAAATTTAATATGCTTAGGTACCTAAGCTGGCGTTTGTGAATATTTGGAAAACCGAATTCAAGTTTCACCTAACGGCATCGCTCTACACATTTGATAGCTCAATATAAACTGACGGGTGTCATTTTGATATAAAAACTACTTTTTCAGAGAAAATACCAAGCAAATAAAACAGTACAGTATGTTTTGTTTATAAAAAAAAAAGAAGCCGTTGCACCTATGGATATTAATCATCTTGTTTTGTTACAAACAAATGAAAAACATGACTATATGCCTAATAACAGTTACAGTTTTTTGTTTGTTTGGCAATTGAGTAAAAAAAATCAAAACGTTTTCCTTTCTTTTCATTGTTTCTTTGTTTTTTATTATTTCGTTTACATATTAGTACCTACAGTATACATTTTGATTTGTACGAAAACTGATGTTGAAATTTAATCTGATAAATGAAAAGTAGAATAAAAAAGCTCGGATTGGATGCAATCGGATCATCGATTTGGAAGATCTGATATCTAAAAATAATGCCCGATCAGATTACGAGTATCCGAAGTATAATGGTGTGGTCCTTTTGAGGCCGTCCGCGTCCGAAAAATGGAGGTAGCGTGAAATTTTTTATTTGTGGCGGCGAAACACTGCCGTGTGTTACTTAATTTTGACGTTATGTCTGAACTAATTGCATGGAAAGATGATGACAAATGAAACGTTATATAAAATATTATTTACTAATCTATAACAATAACACTGTAGGTATTTTACTATACGATTCATTTTGTGGTCTTTAAGTTGATGTGGGAATATATTTTTTTAAGAAATAAAAAGAATTGTTGGCATTGTCTTTCTACCTGATTGAACAGTGAGGTGAATCAAATTGTCCGTCTACCATCGTCAAGTAGAAAAACAAGCGACGATCATGACGCGGCTGTCTGGACGTAGGGACTCGATTTGATCCATTTTTAAGGCTGCTGCGATCTTTATTATCTGCTTTTTTATTTAACTTTAACGGATATTAATTAATAAATTTGAACGCTAAACATTCAGACGGGCATTTTTGAAATCGAATAAATTTTTATTGAAGTTAATCTCTGGCAATTAATATCTGAAAATTTTCTGTTCGAAAAGTGGCGTTCGAGAGTTTTTAATTACCTAACTTTTATCAGGAATATCTATTTCAAAGTTTAATAAATTAATCGTCCAAAGTGCTGCACTTAATCCTCTAAAACAATTCAGTCGTTCGCTTTTTCATTTTTTTTGTTTTATTTTAGGTAGGTAGGTAGTTACGTGTGTCAAAAATTAATTACCTTAAAAGAATTTTGCAGGGCATTTTTTGCATTCTTCTTTCGCTGCCTTTCCTCTTATTCACTAGCGGCGAGTTAAGGATGTTTGGGAGGTCTGTCAAAATGCTGCGAGACAAATAAAAATTTGGAAGAACTTTCGTCGTTCAATTCTAAAACTGCTGTAAAAATTACAAATCGATTCACTAAACCGTTTAGAAGTTATTGAAATTTTAAAAAATTGTAATTTTACACGTCATTTTATGGAGATTCGTTAACCGAACAGATTAAATTTATTTTTATTAACAGAAAAAAAGCTACCATAAATTTAAAACTTTTATAATAAGTAACTTGAACTCTGGAGAATCACTTCAGCGTAAGGTTATTCAAATTCACTAAATGGTTATCGAGGAAAAAATGAAAAATTAGCTGAAAATCTTGTTTTTACTTGATAATATAATGATAATATTTATAATTGTCTGAAATAAATGCAATTTTAAAGTTTTAATTTTTTTAAACATATTAAAAAGTTTTACGCTCATTATTAATAGAGATTGAAACTAAATATTTTTTTGTTTCGTAGTTGAAATTAAGGCATATTCACTGCCAAAAGTCAGTTAAAAATTTTCCATATTATTCGTTATTTCTTATTTTATTCAAAGTTTTTGGTCAAATTCCAATTTTTCTCTCAAACCGTATATTTTTTTTCTGGTATAGATAGTATTTATTTGCCTCATGATATGCTGCAAAACCTAATTAATCACGAATTTCTAATGTTATTAACTCTTGTCTCCGATTGTGACTCCCAAACATAGAGATGTTCTCTTGTATGGTGTAACTTCGCCATCAATCCCTACGTTCGGTCATTTACTTGCCACTATTGTATAAACATTTTCTGTACCTAACCTACTAAGTAAATCTTTAAACTAAAGCAAAATTTCGCATATATGTTCGAGAACCAAATTAAAATTAATAAAGCTTCAACAAGCTAAAACTTCTCTCCCATCAGGACGTAGAGAACTGCGTGGTACTTTTAAATTAATTTCTGTTGCAAAAACAGAAAGTTCAGGGGTGATAAATAATTCACATATTCACCGAGCTATATTATAAGTAGGTATGTATGTAACGTCTACGTTATCGTCTGTGTTCCCAGTATGAAATTTGTTGAACCGCTTTTTCGAAAATTTCCCATGTTCGCGTTTGTTCGTCAAAATTGTGGCTTTCGCCTTAAGTTGTAAAAACTTTTACCTAATACGTGTTTGGATGAAACAAGTGAAATTAGTTTTCGTTCCGCAAGTTATGCAAACAGTTGAACAAAATGTGTTCGCAGCGGGTGATTTTCAGCGTCGCTCGGTCTAAGTAGATGCATAATTCTTTTGTTTTTTTTTAAAGACTATAGGTAGAGACAAGGGGACAACTTCCTTTACTTTGGTTTAATATTTTTGATCGCTCCACTTAATTATACAAAAATATACATACAAGTGCACCTAGAAAAAGTGAGTTCGTTGTTATTTATTTCATTTGAAATTTGTCATATATATTTGCGAGTTAGTTTGTAAAGTGGTATAAGGATTGACGTCCACTCCGAAATGTCCCGTTTTCAAAACTATCCTTCTCGTTGATGGTTTTTATTAGGTATCTGCGAGACCAGGACGAAATGATTAGCATATATCTGTCATTTTATGGTCCGTTTTTGCTACATGTACACGCTTATGGTATGTCTCGTTTTATTTTAAGGTGTCGGCATCCTGTTCTAACTATAGGCGTCTATAAAACATGTATTTTCAGACTCCAAACTACATGCATGTGTGTCTACATGTTCATAATATATAACCGTTCAAATTCTTCGAAAGTTTTTGCGGTTTGTTGAATTTTATAATCATAAAATTGTTCAAAGTCGATAGAAAAAAAATATTTTTTATCATACCTCTACTCATAGTACCATGTTTTTCCTCGAATATCCGCATCATGTTCAAACTTCAACTCGTTATTACTAGTGAATAGGTACCAATATGCGTATGAGTGTAATATTTTTCCAAATTAATCTAGTTATCTATTGCTGTTGATAATACAATAGACATATAAAACAATAATAGACAACTGGCGATGTTGAATTTTGGTATTCAAGCACAATTAAATACATGCCAAGCAGATTTTATAGTACGAATATGCGAATTTGTCAGTAATGAATAGGAAAACATAATATCCGATGAATAATAATAACAACGAGAATTGATCGTTACTTTTTTTTTTTTTTAAAAAAAAGGTAGTTTTCGTTTTGTTCTTTTTACCGTATTTACCTAGATACGTGTTTAAAATGGGTACCGAAAAGAGAATAAATTTTTGTATAGGTTTTTGTCGTCGTGTTGTTATTTGTAAAACAAATCTTAAAAGAGCAGTCAAATGGTCTGAATGAGAAATTATTTTCAACGTTGCGCCACGAAAAACATGAATCGGATTCTTCTTTTTATTGTTACGAATTGTTGGTTGTGTGTATGCCGTTGTTGCTCGTAAACTAAAACCGATGAAGGAAAAACAAAGGAGAATTCGAACGGCCTCCAGAAGAAAAAAAAGAAACAAGGAATAAATGTGAACGGTTTTTTGTTTTTATTTTATTTTTTGTTATTTCCTTCTAATGACGCTATAAACCATCGTCGATATAAAACATTTTATTTCTTTCGGAACACACGGCTTAGCAGATGAGGAGAGAGAGGTCACCAAAGCGGAAACATCGTCGGACGTTCTATTGGGCTTTGCCGTGTGCTTGTCAAAAAGTTTTCAGTTCAGAAATCATCGAGTTAAAGTTCCTTCC